TATCTTCTGGTATAGGTTTGATGAAAAAGTTCTCAACATATTTTTTGACAACTTATTCATTCCTTTATACATATTAATTTATAATACCTTTATTCATTTATCAACGTATTTTATTGGCTTTCAATGATATCGCTTTGTACTTTTATCCAAATAGTGTATTTCGTTTTAAATGTACGATTCCATATTTTATTTGTTTCATTCTACAACGGATAATTCCATATCTAGAAATTGCTGACCACAAAAGGAATATGACCTGGAGAGGAAGAAATGATATGGAAATGAGAGATCTTAAAGACATGCAGAATGTGGAAGAATCTTCTATCCAAAATCCACAGTCGTTTACTGCAATGCATTTGTTACATGAAGAATTTATTATGTGTTTCATGTTTCAACCTGCATATGATCTTTAAAGTGCTGATATTTCCTCAGTGTTCTTTACTGTTAAGCACAAAATAATCGCTTGTGATCTGCATTTAGCACGCTAAAGAAAAGACAGCGGAAATTTTCACGATGCGAACTTGGACGCTGTGACAGAAAATGATCCATAAACCTTAACCAGAGAATTCGCTGGAATTTTCGGTATATCTATTAAAATCATATAATAGCATTTCAGGAAAAGAGATTATAAATAAATACAAGAAATATAACTATAATAGTAAAATCTTTCTATTAAAAATGTTCAAGATAAAAGTTCAGTTTTCACATCGAAGAAAAATTTTGATGGCACCACAAACCAACAATAAATTTGATGCTTGTAATATGCAAAGATTGAAAAACCTCGTGGATGTCGCAGAAAATATCAATATATTGATTAGAATCGTTTCAAAACCATTCAAGATGTTTTAGCAAGAAAAGAATCTCAATAAATTGTCTCAGTTTTGCCTGAAGTTAGGGGCAAAAGATTGGTTTAGGATCGTTTAATTTGTTTTACGGCATATCAACCTCAATGGATTATTTAATGCCGACAACATTTTTTTAGGATAGATTCGTATGAATAGAATATGCATTCTTTGGTTTAGATTGGTTTGGTTTATTTTGTTTTACGGTATATCAACCTCAATAGGTTATTTAATGCCAACAACATTTTTGGATTGATTCATATGAATAGAATATTTATTCTTTGGTTTAGATTGGTTTGCTTTATTTTGTTTAACAGCATATCAACCTCAATGGGTTATTTAATGCGGACAACATTTTTAGGATAGATTCGTATGAATAGAATATGTATTATTTGGTTTAGATTGGTTTGGTTTATTTTGTTTTACGGCATATTAACCTCAATGGATTATTTAATGCCGACAGAATTTTTTATTGCTGGTAATATTTTGTTTTTGTCAAAAATCTGTTTCTGTTAATATATTTCCTTCAAAACTGTATTAGTGGTATTAATCTTTTTTCAAAAAAGTATTGCTGGTAATAGTTAACTATTTGGGACCCTAACAGGTGCTACCACCCCGGGTCAGGGTGGACCTGGGAACACCAGCAATTAAGAGGTGGTTCCATGCTCCTCAAAACCTCCTGATCAGAGGCCTTACTGCTGGACGTAGTTTAACGTCTTATCCAGGACGCGGATGTAGTTTAACGTCTTACCAAAGACGGGCAACAGATTGATGTCAAATAATATAAAATTGAATATGTAAACAGTGGTTCATTTTTACATTGCATCGTCATTTATCATAATGAAAAATAAGATTATATAATAACTAAATAATATCTACACACTGGCTGGATACGGCTGAAAAATGGAATCATGAACCGGCAGTCTTTTATCCTCTTCGATTAGTTATAGCAATCGGTTATTGGAACAGAAATGTCTTTCTGAATTATAACTTCCATAAAGGTTGCCAAGCAAGCCAGGCTTATATATTTTAGAGGTTATCTATAAAACAGGATATTCAAAATTCATGTAAGGGGCGCTGGGTTTCCACTTACGTTCAAATTGCAAATAGTGGTTATGAACGTTGTATAAGAATGGAAAGTTTATTGCTTCCCACCTATACACCAGATCTCACTCCTTTTGGCTACCTTCTTTCTGCCAAACACGTAAATCATTTCGTTAGAGGAAAGAAGCTTTTCCAGTTAGGATAAAACTAAAGAAAGCGTTTATGGATATTATGTTCTTCGAATAGAAGGTTAATCTGCTGAAAAATGGAAAACAATGAGTAAAAGCTGAGGAGAAAATATAGATTGAATACTTTTCTATATGTCTTGGGTTCACATTACTATCTATCTATCTATCTATCTATCTATCTATCTATCTATCTATCTTCCTTTCTTATCTATCTATCTATCTATCTATCTATCTATCTATCTATCTATCTATCTATCACAATATCTTCCTTTCTTGTCTATCTATCTATCTATTACAACATCTTGCTTTCTTTATCTATCTATCTATCTATCTATCTATCTATCTATCTATCTATCTATCTATTACAACATCTTGCTTTCTTATCTATCTATCTATCTATCTATCTATCTATCTATCTATCTATCTATCTATTACAACATCTATCTATCTATCTATCTATCATCAAATTCTCATCATTATCAATCTGTCTATCTTTCTGATACAATATCACTGATGTCAAACGCTATAATAAATAAATAAATAAATAAATGGAAAAGCTTTTTATAATTTCGCGAATATATCTTCCCTCATACACAGAAGAACAGGAAAAAAAGAGTAAAACTTTCAACATATCAAAGTTGGTAATATGATATCATTGAAATAAATGTAATAGTTTTAACAGTTCATATATTGATTCGACGAACAGCACTTACATTTTCAGAAAGGGGAAGACATGAAAGTCACCACTGAAAAAACAATACAAAACAAGCAAAACCCTATCGCCTGCTTAGGGAAATTCATATTTATTGAAATAACGTAATGTATGGACGCCTATATTTTGTGTTCCTATTTTAATATTTTTCTAGATATTTTTTTTCCAAAATTATTCTATTTTTTATTATACATATTTGCGTCTTCATATTTATTTCAAAATACGTACCGGGGGCAAACCAGTGTACATCTATTTATTTATCGTCAGTCATGTGACACATTTTTTAGCCATACAGATGATGTTTTACAATGACACACCTACTTAGCATCTTCATCTCTGAAGTACTTGTTAAGCATGCGAAATATTTCTTTCTAAAGAAGTTCGAATATAGTGTAATGAACTGTATAAATATATGTTGTGTTATGCAAAATTAAATTTATTTAAAAATGCCGTCATAATGTATTATGCATGTTTATTATTTTTCACAGAAATAACGGTTGAAATATAATACGCAGGTGTTTGTTTATATACGAAGACTGATCTGTCTAAATTTCTAAGAAGAGGTATTATGTAAACTATATTATTCGGACTATTGTACTCATCTTTGTCGCCATATTTATAACAACGTTTCGGCCTTTCAGTATCTGTCTATATTTCTGAGATGAGGTATTATGTACACTATTTACATTATTCGGACTACTGTCCTCTTCTTTGTCGCCATATTTATTACAACGTTTCGGCCTTCTTCAGGTGGTTGGAATGTCGACAGTCTGTTTCATGCTAGATGCAATCGTCAGACTGTCGCCTCTAAGTCTTGACTACTATGTTCACTTTTATATATATATATATATATATATATATATATATATATATTATGGACTCTCCCGTCGTATTGGATGTATGAGGGTCCAGCATGTCAGTTCCTTAAAACCGACAGCCCGACACCAGCACATATAAACGTCCCCAAACGACCCTGCGCAGGTTTTTAATTCAAAGTTGTCCTAGCCCTTTTCGTCGGTTGAAATAAAGCTATTCCCTGTATGAGGTAATTTTTGATTTCATTCTGTACTAGTATTTATTTGGTCTGCAATAATAAAAACACTGGGCACTTTTTTGATCAGTTTTAATATTTTATATTACTAGGGTCATTACTTGGATTATATACCAACGGAATGTTATCTTAACTATATATATGCTTGTAGATAGATACAAATATTTAAGTAAATGCTCTGTTTATAATAAACAGTATTAACAGCATTTACCGGCCTATCAATAAAAAAGAATGTATAAGCATAAAAATGTCTTAAAATAACAGTCGGACTTTCTTCATTTCATAATGTGTGACGTCATTTGTTCACATTTGGATACGCATCGAGAAGATATGAATATACGCGAGAAAATCATGGAAAAATCGACCTTGCTAACCGAAACGCTCCTCTGTGGCTCAATCGGTAAAAGCACGTCAGGCTATATGACGTTTCCGTATAGGATACAGGTTCGATCCCTGTCGAAGGACGCATATTTTCTATGAAAATTTCTCGGACATTCAGACCGGTAAATGTCGCTACTACAGTTTATTATAAACAGATCATTTACTTATATATTGGTATCTGAAGAAAAATACAGAAAAAACAAACAAAAATCTTAATATGCAATTATGCTGTATTAATGTTAATATAAAGTCGACGTCAGACGTTTCGGTCTATTTAAGACCATCTTCATGGACATTTTCATTTAAACATAATTAACATTAGAACATTAAATTTAACACAAAAGACGATGGACATAAGAGCCCAACTAATCCAAACAGATAACTGAAATTTTTATATAAGATCAGCGTTCCGTTTAAATATGATCACGTCGTCGTCACGTGGGCGATGTTGTGAAAACGTATTCGAAGATGATTTCCAGATATTAAAATATTAAAAAAAAGTCGATTGAACTATTTTATATAAACAGTTAAAGAAATCTCTTCTGTTGATATAGGAATACGTAGAGATCAATAGGTCCTTATATCTTCATACAAGCTTGGTATCTATAAAAAAGAATGTATAAACATAAAAATAATTGAAAATAACTGTCGAACTTTGTCCATTTCATAATATCTACCTATCTATCTATCTATCTATCTATCTATCTATATATATATATATATATATATATATATATATATATATATATATATATATACGTATATGTAGGTATGTATATGTAGAA